CAATTGTTCCAACTAGTCAAATTTTTGTTTTCGTGATTTACGATAGAAAATTTTAATTAATACCTTGATAAACTACTTGGAAACAAAGTGAGGTCGAACAATTGCAACAATTAGTCATTCGTTGTAGTATCTAGATTCAATGAATTGAGTCTGACTGAATCATATATTACTACTGTCAGTGTCTGACCACAATCTCTCTTACTACTGAGCTGCATCTCTTTTGTTCATTTTCGTTACCTTGACTCGGAACGAAATGATCGTTAACTTTATAACTAAACGTTAATCATTCAAACTCTGGTTGATTTTAAGTTTGAATGAACAATGAAACTTTTAAACACATTTTTTAGATTAAACCGGAAGAAAATATATTATTGAATATAGTCAAAGCAGTAGATATTTTCAATATTTATTGGGATGAAGCTGAAAAATGATGTTGTTTTAGGTATTATTCTAGTAGAAGTATAATGTAGTGTGTAACATTGAATTGATAGTACTTGCAGCTTTAATCGCGTTAGAATTTTCAACACATACCTAATGCAGAATGGATACGAAACAACATATATTAAAGTGCAATTGAAAATGGTTGATCGAATGGGGCGGAACATTGAAGGCAAATAGCGCGAGGACGAAATCCTCCAGTTCTAGGATAGGGATGAACGTACTGAAGGAGAAATAGCAGGTAGAAATAGAATGGCACGGTGATAATCAATATATATATTCTACTCACGCAGCAGCATAACTGCGTCAAATCGTCAAATCGTGGTCGTTTATGCGATCGTTTCATCGCCCAGCTCCCACATCCAAGTTCAGAGTAAAAAGTAACCCAACAAGATGATACAGTTTACGCGGTGAGAAATTCGTAAATTCACAACTACTTCTTTCCACTGCGTATGCATTTCACAGAAAAAAGTATTTCTCGCAATGACACAATTTAATTTCCTTGTACCAATGTCGGTTGGTTCTGCGTGTATAGTTGAGTGTGACAACTATACAGTTGGTAGAATCGCTGGGCTTGACCAACTGCGTGTTCCCCCAAGTGCACGAATGCAAAACCTCTTGATTGTCGTGGCGCGAGCGCTTGCAGAAATGCTAACCCAGAAATCAAGTTCTGCGGAGTTGGGGAATTAATGAGTGTCTAGAAACGAATAGCAAGTGACTAATGAAAACATTTTCGTAGAAGGCAAATAGCAAAATAGTCGACTTGATTGACATTTGAAAATATTCTAAAACTGGTTGTGTGTGCGCCTCGTGAGAAGTGCAGTGCGTTTTAGTGTCAAGTATCGCACAGGACCGTTTCACCCGGACGCAATTTTAGCGCGTTCGTAAATATTTGCACTTCACGGTTCACGGCCCCACAGACTCATTTCCTCGCATTTCGTTTTCTGGCATATACACGTTATAGAGCAGTGCCCGAGCTTAATCGCGGATCCACTATTTTTCTTCTTTTGCCCGTCCCCCTCTAGGTGTGCTCCATTTGATCTTTTTTTGCGCGTCAGCTGACCCATTGGTCTCGCCCGGGTCGCGCATTATTATGCACCCCACGAGCTGGACTAATAGCCGCCGTTCGAATTTTCTTGCTACTGCTGCTGCTGCTGCTGCTGCTGCTGCGTATAAACATCCAACACGATTAGATCCCACAACTACTCTTGTCAATGTTGTCACACTTTTGATTATGTCAAATCTAAATCTGAAATGCATTCCCTACATTTCTATTTCTGACTGCAATGCATTATCAAAACAGCACTACAATTAGAAACTAGACTTTGAGCAGCATACTATACATTAGAGTTCAATAAATTACTCGGACATTTTAATTAATATAATTAAAAATATTAATTTTTGACATGATTGAAGACTTATTGATAGAATTATAAACTTTTAGTGTCATTGTATATTCGACTAGAAAAAAGGAAATTAAAAATAGATTGTATGTCAAGAAAACTGGCTTTTGCTATTCACTTCACATACACAGAGACAGAAAAATTTCAAAATAAATGTTATTGTTAATAATACAATTTATTTTAATAATTAAATTTTTCGTAACGAACATATTGTACATTCCATCAAAAGCTCTAAAAAATGAAATAATTGATATCGAGGTAAAAATATTCAATTTCCAAATACAGGGAAAATATAGTTTTCATTTAATCATTATTTTTACTTTTAAATTATAAAATTTTCCCGAAAGCTAAAAATAACAATGAAATATATAAACTTATTTAATTTTCATTAAAAAACATATATATATATATATATATATTACAATTTTATGAATTATACTTATATAATCATTCAAACAAAGCACAGTGAAATTGTAGCAAATTTAAAACTTTTATTAATAAATAAAATATAGCAATAAAAGTATAAACTTTAACTTAAGGCGGAAAAATACCTTAATAATATTTTTTGAATATTTTTTGAAAACATTAATAAAAAGTTAAAAGACAGACTTTGATTACTCTCTTTGGGCCAAAGTCGCGACGTAGCCATATTATGGTCAGTGCAGTTCAGTCGAGTGTATTACGTCAATCAGATCCTATGACACTCAGATTCCCGAATCCAGCATTTACAAAGGATACACTGTGTGCATATCGTGCATATTGCCAAGATGTACACGTTCCTGAATAGAGGTGGAATATTCTCGGACCACGAGGGTGGAAAACACCTTAACGGCATTAACATTTCACAGAGGCAAACAATTGATATATACTGCGCACCATGTGTATCAGAACGGATTTCCGGTGGCATCATTCTCGCATGAGTGTATGTTTCTGAAAATCGCTTTTTGCATCTCAAGAGGTGAAATTGAGTCTGGCGTCAATGATATTCTCGGTTGTTTGCTTAATCCGACTTTGAAACGCTTGTTAGTTGGCAATATTAGATCCGAGTAAGCATGATGAATGTGCACTTTCAATCAACATATAAGTGTAAATTGCATTATTCAATTTCCGATGGTTTCTTCAAGGATTTTCAAGGATTTTCAAGGTTGGCGAACATGTCGATATTCAGACAGTTCGGACGAACAGGGATCGAACCAGTTCAAGTATTTCAAAATACGGACTTTAAAGACCAATTACTCACAAAAGTATAACCAGTCCGAGTCAAGTAAGAGAACATTTTACTTCAAACTATAATTATTAAAGATGACCGAGTGATAAAATCATTATCAATTCAATTATTATTTTCAAGAACTTTTAACTAAAATTCTTCTTTAAATCGATTATTTTTAACGATTTTCGAAAAAGTTATTTGACAATTTTCAAATGCATTATTTTGTTTACAATATTCAATTTTACGAAATTTCAATTATCCATTTTCATTAGAAAATTCTACGAGAATTCAATTATTTAAATACAAAAAAAAACAATTTATCGAATTGCATGTTTAGGAACATTCACAAATGATGTCACGTTTTCATTTGTGAACGCTCCCTTTTTAAAAATTGAATTCTCATAAAGAATTTTATTAATAAATTTTTAAATAATTGAATTCTTTTGATTAGAATTTTATTAAAAATAATTGAAATTCTGCAATGAGTTTTATTATTTTTGAAAATAATTGAATTCCAAAAAATGAATTTTATTATTGACGAAAATAATTGAATCCGCATGTAAAAAATTTATTATTTATGAAAATTATTGAATTTATTGAATGATTGCGAAGAAATTTATAAAAAAATTTGTAAATAATGAAATTTCTGTGGAATTTTGATTATTTTTTGAAAATAATTAAAGGTTTGTGTAGAATGTTATTAAATTTTTGTTTAAATAATTGAATTCTTTTGGAAAATTTTATTAGAATAAAAAATTTTTGAAAATAATTTTAATTTTGAAAAAGCCCTGGAGACGAATGAAAGGGGGAAATAATGGAAAGCTCAAATTCTTAAACGGTTGTGTCAGATAATATGCTATTATTTTTTGTTTCATTGCTCAACTGAAACAACCAGTTTGAATAAAGCCATTTAAAAGAATGAAAATTAACTTAAGATTGATGCATGTCTTTGTAGTTTTAATAATTAATAGTGTTTTTGTAATAAAAAATGAAATGAATAAAAAGGAAATTAAAAGCGAATCCATTTTCTCATGCATAAGACAATTAAAATTAAAATTTGTAATTGAAACAGATTACTTAAACTTTTTTTTCCTCCTGGGGAATGTAAAGAGGAAAGAATTTGTAATCAACTGAATAGAAACGTGACTTTTTATTCACTTGGACAAGGTACAAGTTAAATTTCTATTAGCAGTTGAAATATCTTTTCGACAGAGGAAAAATCCACCCAAAATACAAATTTTCGTTGTCGCCGAAACGAAACAACATTTAAGTTGTCCTTTATCTAATCTAAACGCTAATCAAAGTTTTAAAAATAATTTGTAAATTATTATAAAATTAAAGAATATTGCATTGAGAGGAGGGTAAATGGAATAAATAAATAAATAAAAAAATGACTCGATGGTAGAGTTTCGGTTTTGATAATGGAAGAGTGGTTTTGGTCTTGGGCTCTTTTTGAGCTTCCATTAAGGACAGCAATTTAGCTTCGCGAGGTTTCAGAACCCAAAAGTTTTACGATTATAGAAGGATCAAGGCAATCCAGCATGGCTTACGGACTCCAAACTTCATACCAGTCAAGCTCGCTTTTATTATCAGAAAGGACTTTAAAACCTAATTCTTTGCAAATAATAATAAATTTTGCAGCACAACTTTTCGTTATATTAATTGAAACTAGTGATTTAATATGTAGAAATTTATTTGTCACTCATGGTTGTCAATCCTCATTAAATTTTTATAAAGCTCCAGTGAAAATGTAACTGACACTGAGTAATCTCATTAGCTGTTTAAAAATTAATTTATTGTCAGAGACGTGTAATAAGTGCAGTGGATTAACAATGTTCCGCCACATTCAATAATCGAAATTACTGGGAGGTTTGTCAGAGTAGTCGGAATTACTCAATCGACGAACGAGACGCTAATTAGTAAAATTGATTAACTGTGGCGAACTTTACCTGTAGATTTGGCGTGCAATGATCTAACAATTCCAGCATATGTCTGATGTTTTGTGGATCTGGAATTACGAAGTTTAATTCGATGTCGAACTCGCCTCCCACCAACTGTAAAATATAAAAGGAATAGTTCAATACCAATTGGCACTACTAATTAGGTAAAAAAAAAGTCAAATTTCTTTTTCTTCTCTTTCTCCTTTTTTTTCTTTTTTTAATTGCAATTTTTTATGATTGTCTCCAACATGCTGTGTCAATTTATAATTTTAATTTATATTTTCAATTTATATTTTCAAAACTTTATAAAGACACAATTTCTTTTGACTTTATATATACATATGTATGTATGTTTACTTGTGACGTTTCAAGAGAAAATTGAATTCAAAAACACACGTTCATTGACTTCCTTTTTAGTGAAAATATAAAAGCTAAAATAATGTTAAAGGTAAAATTTAAAGGATTATTTATGTGCTCTAGAATAATAATTATTAAGAAAATTTAAGTTTTGAAGATTTAAAGATCTCCTTTGACAGACATTTCGCTAAAGCAGAATTCAAGATAGCATCCGCATAAACTGTCCTTTTTGTAAGTTTGTACTTTATAGATACAAGAAGAATATTGTTCAACAGGAAATGCTACCTCTGTAGAGAGCATGATTTCCGCACAAGCATCATCTCGCTTCCGGTGTTCTCTTGTTTCCTTCTTTTCTTACATCTCTCTTACTTTCTTGACACAATATTGAACATGAATTTCAAATCTTATCTAAAGTAAATTTTTAAAAGGGTAAATGAATAAAGTAATTTTTCACAGAATAAATGGACATTAGATTCATCAAAAGCAAAAAGTTGTTTTTTCTTTTATTTATTCACACAACATTCTATCAATCCTTAAAAGTAAGAAAATAATACAAACATTTATTTAATTGATTTTTTTATATTCATCCGTCATCCCATTGTATTATTTATATGTAAAGGTATTGAATATTAAAGGTGCGTTATTTGATACTTTTATCTGATTCAATTCAACTTGGACACGTCCTCCTGGTTAGTAAGTGCTTCCGGTTTCACTGAGAAAATAAACTTTGAAATAAAAGTACCATGGAACAGTTCAGTTTTTGGAAAGCAATCGTGCATCTGTTGAGTTAAACTAGAATTTTTCCGGGGATTCGACACTCCAAGTTATTTCAACGAGACATTTGCAAACGTTTTACAACAAGATTTCGTTCGATTCGTCACGTCGTTTCACCTAAAAGGAAAATACGATTTGTTTTCACTCGAATTCTAGTGGAAACAAATATTCCGTAGTTTTCTTCTATATTTGAAAAGTCAACAAACAAAATTCCCTAAGTAGACATTTTATGTAGTGCGAAAAATGCGAAAATAGGTTTCCAACTGGGGGGAAATTATTGTTTTACGAATATATTTGAAAACTGAAATATTGTAATATGACATTTAAATAATTGTCAAAGTTGAAAAGACTTTTCTTCCCTTTCTCGAACGTAAATGAGTGCGAACAAACATTGTCAGTCACATGAGGTATACTGGTCACAAACAATGCCACTTGACGCATTGTGTTTTTCGGCCATATAAACTTTTCAAATTGAAAAAAGGAAAACATTGCAATCAATTATTGACGGACTGTCTTTCACTAAACACAATTGACACGATTGTATAGAAATTATTTAGCTCTGAAGTAAAATGGATTAGGGTCAGTTGGTATAGTCTTACACTTGAATAAAAAGAAACTAAAAATTCGTATTAATATTTACAACTGTTTCTAACATTAGACCAAGAATAGTTGAGAAAACAGTAAGTGCCAACTACTTACAGAGCCCACTGCATTAACGTGAAATCGAACTTGATATTATGTTGATGAATATGGAAGCATATATTATGTGATAGGAAATTATAGTCATCTCTATTCAGAATGAAGAGCGGCTCTCTTGGACACATTTTCCGGAAAGTCACGCCTAACCTATTTTACGAGCGTCCAATTTTCGAAGCGATTGGTGTTGAATTAACAACCAATGATATCCGGTGAGTTTCGCTAGCATGTCTGGGTACCTGCTATTTGCAATGCTGAGTAGACAAGTTCGGTATACATATGCGGCTCAGTGCGGTTCAGCTCGCTTGATGTGAAACTGGTCCAGAGATGGAGAAGACAGCAAGTGCTACACAATTAGTGGCTGCTGCACTCCCAAGTCAACCACGTCTGAACCCTTTTGCGTCAGGCTCCACATACATCTCGACTGTCAAACATTGCGTGTAGAAAAAGTGCACTTCTTTATTCACAATTCAAGATATGGTAAATACTGAACTTTGCGTTTAATTTCGGACCGAGAGAATCTATACATAATACATGGTATTGTCTATTCAACTTTGCCCATTGCATAAACCAAGTGGCTCTAAAGTTTCAGGAGTAGTTTATCGAATTGTGGACTAAATACTCCTCAACTTAATAAAATTGCCAAACAAAACTTGATCGCTTAATTCTCAACAGATGACCGAATATTATCCTATTACAGAACTAATATCACCAAATATTCCAAAAGGCTTGCCCAACGTTCTGGAAAATAAATTAAATTTACTAAACTGACAATACAATAACACAAACCTACTCCCATTACGAATAACTGCTCCTGAAAAGCTTAAGATATTAAAAAGGTAAGCACACCTCAAACGACACTGAATACCTCTTATTGTCTCTTGTACATTATGTCAAAGAGTTTCTTTCGTACGCAACACAAGCATTTTAATTAAACTGGTAGGTATTCTGACAAAGGGACAAAGTTTCAATTCAAGTAAATTCTGATCGTGCGAAAATATTCTTATTCCCTTGTTGCTTAATATAGGTACTATTTCCAATATATGCAGTAAATTTTGACCAAGTAAACTAATTGAATTTAATAATTGAATGTTCGTTATGATTACAAGTAATTAAATGTAAATTGAATTCTGCAGTTATACATTTGTGAGCATTGGAGGATGAAATTTTACTGCTTGAACTTGGAAAAATGAAGGTAAACTTGTTGAAAATTTGTTGAAAATTTGTTTCACATTTTTCACATCGTTATCCTTTCATATTGAGCTCAAATAAAATCCCAAGTTATTGACCTACATATGCATCAATTGTCAGTCGACGCTTGGCGAATTCTAGAACGTTAACGAAGCAAATATAGGGCGCAATGCGTTCTCGGAATACATATCCTATCAATACATATAACTATAAATGGTGGGTATATAGACGATAAGAATGACCCTCGTGTACTGAGTTCAGCCAACATACAAACAAATACAGAACGACAAGCCAACTAGATTTCACATATTCCACGATGAGCCACTACAACTCATTCGATTTCAATCACAACTCAAATCACGTACTTGGCGCTGCACTTGAACCATATGATTATTAATTCGAACGTTATTCATCCATCGCATCGTGAACAAGCCCAATCAAAGTAGACTTGTGTACTTAATACTTATTCAAACTACACTAAAACAAAAAACATTGAAAGTATGCTTTTCGCTTCGGTAATACTTGCAGAAGAGCAGAAGCATTGCAAACACGGCAATTGTTTCTCTCTTTTCTTATTGTTGACCTGTATAGTTTCCTGAAGCAAAGATTACCCTTTTATAAAGAAACAATTTCCTATTTGCAGTGCTTTGGTTACTAAGCAATAATTACTGAAATAAAAATCACTTTCTAAAAATGAACCAGTGGAATTTCAATCTGTGAAATGTCACTGAAAAATGACTGATATTTAAATAATTTTGAACTGATTCAAACCGCGAGAATAGAGTCACTGAGTCTCAGTCAAATTTCACTGATTCAGATTTAGAGAGTACAAAAGCGTGATTGTGAGTGTTATATGGACCACTATAATTCCGTCTGGCGCAACCGCGCAAACTTCATCGCACTACTTGTATTTGCAGATGTTTACTACTGAAAGTCGATATTCTTGTGTACCTTTCTTCTCGCTACTATAAAATAATTATGGAAATTGTTTATAAATCTAGTTGTTCTTTGAATATTATGAAATATAATGAAATGATGCGAAGCGTTTATTAATTTTCATTACTGAAGGTCGGTCACGAGATTTATTTTCCTCGATTTCTCTAACTAGCTTGAAAAGTTAAGCTGCATTTAATTTATGGAGAAGAAAGCGTAAGGGGCATGAGGTAAATTGAAATTAATTCTCTTTTACTTGATGAGTATCACAAGAATCACTTATTAAGCTGCAATGCATTTAGTAATTAAAAATGTATTTACACGAACACATAACAAAATCGCTGCAACTGTTTTTTCTATTATCATTATTATTATTTACTATTACGGTATTATTATCATCATCAAGTATTATTGCGAGTTGCTGCAATAATACTCATGCCCTTTAATGAAAAATAAATAATACTAATTAATTACACAGTTTTCAAAAGTACTATTATTTGAATATATATTTTTTTTTAATAATGTTACATTGAGAAAACATTACACTTAACTCAAATTCAAAAATTAATTAAAGTTTTGATTTAAACAAAAACTATGTTTTAAAATTTGATGTTTGATTCAAACTTAAAAGTTGATTATATAAATAGGTTAAAATCCACCATAACTTATGTTTGAGTTAAACTTAAATATGTTTGACTATATAGCAAAGATATTTTAAGTTTAATTTAAACAAAATTTCATGAGTTAATAATAATTACTTTAATTATAGGATGTAAAAATTAAAGTTAGGATTGTGTAAAGATTACTTTAAACAAATTGTCATCTTTATAGCATTGAATTCCTCTTAAAGAAATAAAATAAATATAATTAGAATTATCGCCTAGGTCGTTAAATTAGATTGTCCTATTCCTGACGATGTGGTTGGCCCTTTGACGTTCAAGTAAGAGAGGCACTTGTGTTGCACAATAAATTAGGTCCCAATCTGTTTACGGACAAAAATGACACCTCAAAAGATGTGGTGTTCTATATAATATTTTGAAAAAATACGTTGACACAAAATGGATACCCAAAAACTTGTTACAGGAACAAAAAGATTTGGGATCGTTAAAAAGCAAAGGCATGGGGAGTAGTGAATGGATGTAAAATGCAGTGCACGGGTGTGA